CTGCATTATTACAGCAAAGCGTGTGATTACAGTACTAAGCCGCCAATCTAATGCTATTAAATTAAAGATGATGTACCGTAGAGCAAAAAAACAGTGAAAGTAACAAAAACTTGTAAAATACATTTTAATGGGCATAATTAAGTGTGAAAATAAACGAAGGATATACAGTGAAACCAAAAATGATTCAGAGACCAGATATACATTTTTATATTTTTTTACTAGTGGGTGCAGGACACTATAGTTCATTTATGTAAGTGAGGATAGCAAAATTAAGTAAACTGTGACAAATCATACCCAAAAATTCTTCATACAGTGGACTACCGGTAAAATTGATACAAATTTGGGTCCAAAAATTATTCAGACCGAGTCTGGGAAAAAAACTGAAGTTGAGGTTTGCGTGAAGCTGGATAAAAGCATGCCCAGGAGACTACAGACTGTCATTGAGGCTAAGGGTTGCCCGACAAAGTATTGATAGTTGTGTAAATACTGTCATACTAACAGCTGTCTGAATTATTTTGGTTGATTATAATCCATTACATACCTTTCTATCAAAATGATCTAACATTATCAAGATGAATTTGTTCTGACACAGTGTAACTCTGAGTTCTTGTCATATTTTATTACAATTTTCTAAACTATAGCGAATATAATGTGAGAAATGTTGAAGATGTCTGAATAAATTTTGGTTTGACTATCTATTTGATAAATGAAGTTAACCAACTAACATTATACATACCCTTTTGGTTTCTGTACCCAATATTTAAAAAATGTACAAATGCAATAAAAATATCGGTATTGGTACTCGGTATCGGCAAGTACCAAAAATAAAAGTACCAGTATCGGGCGAGTAATGGAAAAAGTGGTATCGGTGCATCCCTAATAATAATACTAATCAGATCACTGCATAATGGAATATTCTTGTTCAGAATAAAAAGAAAAACCCATTTATCAGAGCACAAACATTCACAAAACACACTGACAAGACAATGAAAGCTCTCAGTCAAGTCAGTTTAGAGGTGTCACCTGAACACAATGAATGGCAGCAAAGCAATCCCAAGGCTTTGGATCGACACTGATAAAGAAGACTGTCCGATCAGCTTGATATTCAACTGTCAGAGCAAAATTTACAGCAGGATGCTGCAGACGCTAACAGGAGGTTGGACTCCTGGGAGGAAATAAAGGAAAAGGTCCAGACACCAACACTTCAGACAGACAGATGTCTCCTGCAAGCATGCCAGACAAGTGGCCTTGGGGACTATGATAGTGTCAGATATTCTGGCAGAAGAGCTTCAAGTACAACAATCCATGATGGCAAACTATAGCATTCCAGAGCTGCAAGGTCAACACAACAATGGCTGACTGTTTCATGTCAGCTAAATCAGCCCGAAACATTCCCACGATGTGTCTACAGCTCTGGTTAGATGAACAGCTAAGCGTAAAGGTGACGATAAGCCTACATGGTCAACATAATAAAATAAACCAAGAACGAAGCAGATGAGTGGTCGGTTGCACTGGACATCGATCATTACTGACCAATCAGAATTAAGAACTCAAAAGAGAAAATTGGAATAGTAATGTAATAAATATTTGCCATTACAATCACTCAAATAAATTTACATCTATAAATGACACAAAAAAGTACAATGACAAACAAAATTAGGGTCGCATACACAAACTCAGCAAACAGGAAATGAAATCAGCGTGAAACAACCGGTAAGCATATAGGACACATTTAATGAAGTTTTAGATAGTTTCAGTTCATTTTGAGCCCCTCTCCTACCTTTTCTGAAAAAGGGCCAGCAGGTACACGCCAGCGTGGATCTCAATAGCTCAGGGCTTAAACGGCCCTCTAAAGACACGAACAATGAGCCTGCGAAGCAACTTAAGTCCAAAGCACACATGCACTCTGGTGGGTCCGAAGGACGTCAACAAAACGTAAACTCCATGTTGTCACTACGGTCAGTCTTTTTGTTCACATTTCAAATATAAATGCCCTCTCACACATATTCAAACAGACAATTCATTTAAGTAGCTTCCTCTGTGTGACATCATATCCTGCTTATCATAATGTGTCCAGCAGACTGGCCCATGCTTCATGTAACCAGAGATCCAGTTCCTGTCCGCTTGTCCTGAGGAGACCAGTAGAATACACAATACGTCCTCACAAGACGGTCATGAGTCAAAGACCTGGATTCAACGGCCCTAAAATCACAACACTTGTGTTAAACCAGCTGATAGACCGCAAGCACTCGCACCGGACTACATACACACACACGCGGCTGAACTCACCCACAAGTGTAAACACGTGGTTAAATGGGACCTTGGCCAGGAGGAGGAGTTCACACACACACATATCTGACTGAAAACACTGGAGCTTAGCATTTACAATACAATCAAATTCTAGCATACAGCAACTGAATGTTGGATCTATATATATCTACTATATTCTGATATAAATAAAACTCAAAATTCTTAATACTTCAATTATCCACACAAGATACACAACAAATACACATCTCATATTTACGATGTCTATGTATACATTATAAGATAGCCAGGTTATGCCTTCAAGATCATTTTTATTTTAAGCAGAGAAAAAAATATGGCATAAAATGCTAAAATACTGAAAATCAAGATGTATTCAAACTAGTATCATATTTTAATTTTAACTCAACTGTTGTTTTACTGAAGAACAAGCAGCTCTTGAATCACAGAATCACCTAATATATTTCAGTTAGTCACTATGAAAAATTGCCTTTTTTTTAAATACTGCAGTGTTTAATATACTGTAAATGATTTATCTGTGCACACCATTAATCTTTGAAATTTCATGTGCCCTGGTAATCTTTAATTAAAACAACTTCCCCTCCTTCATGCGACATATCTTTCTCTTCTCCGCTGACATATACACTGGCGCAAGGGAGGTAAAATCTGTCACTCACATGAGATTGCAGCAATAGCAAGCGACAATGATCCAATGATCCAATCAATTCCTGATAGACCTAATTACATCCCATCCTACATTTTTTCTCATTAAAGAAGCCATTTCACTTGTACGTCACAATAGTGAAGACAAGACCACTACAACTTCCGTTTCATGCAGACTTGAATTATTTTATTTACATTGACAGTCCGAGTTTTTCAAAAAAATTCTGTTTGAAAATTGTTTTTTTCGTTAATTATATATATATATATATATATATATATATATATATATATATATATAAATAATTAACAAAAAAAACAATTATATATATATATATATAGGTCCCCAACCCATGGCACTTCTCGTAAAGAGTAGGGGTGTAACCCCTGTGTCCTGGCCAAATTGCCCCTTTGGCCTTTGTCAATCATGGCCTCCCAATAATCCCCAACCACTGGATTGGCTCTATGACTCTCTCTCCTCTCCACCTGTAACTGGTGTGTGGTTAGCGCACTGGCGCCGTTGTCCTGTGGCTGCCGTCGCACCATCCAAGTGGATGCAGCACACTGGTGGTGGTTGAGGAGAGATCCCCCCCCCCCATGATTGTAAAGCGCTTTGGGTGTACAACAATACACAATAAAGCGCTATATAAATGCATCATTCATTCATATACAAGAGGAAATATCTTAGTATGCATAAGGCTTTTAATATTGTCTTGGACAATGGGGGGTTTCGTAAGCCAGCTGCACACTCAGCTCAGATCTTTTGCTTGATCCTAAACATTATGAATCCTGACACTAAATATGGCTTGCACAGTAACACCTGAGAGTATTATATTTAGCGGTGTTATTTCCATAGAGGAAATGGGTCCAGTGACATTACAATGAATGACTTTTTTTTTTAAATGACTGAATGATCTTTCATTCACTGTGCATAAAATTATTCACATGAATGCCCTTGACTGAACTAGAGGAGTATTATATTTAGCGGTGTTATTTCCATAGAGGAAATGGGTCCAGTGACATTACAATGAATGACGTTTTTTTTTTAAATGACTGAATGATCTTTCATTCACTGTGCATAAAATTATTCACATGAATGCCCTTGACTGAACTAGAGACAAGAGAGAGAAGCTTTGTTTCTGTACTCATTGCCTTTGGTAGGATTTTCCAAAATCTCTGCCAAAGTGTGAATGGTTATAATGTGTACCCCACAAATCCTTTGTTTCCTTTTATTGAACTGACGTATAGAGGCTCAAAAGATCATTGCTGAGATGGAACACAGGTACTCTGATCTAGAGGTCTACACGGAGGACCCGAGACCCGAGGACCCGGGACCAGACCCGGGATCCGTATGGGTTCGGGGCTATATTTGAAATGGTCAGCCGGGTCCGGGTCGGGTCCCAATCTATTACTTTGGGTCCCGGGTCTGTTTAACATTGTGTGTAATACCCGAGTCGATCGGACTCGGAGAACACCCGGCCGTTATCAGAGTCAGTCAGCGCTGTACGTGTGTTGTTTTGTAACTTTCAACTTGTAAAATTAGGATGAGAAAAGTGTGAGTCAGTAATTTGAAATAAGGTGGAAAAAAGAAGAAAAAAAACACGAGCGACGTCATCAGAAGCAGGGTGGGCGGAGTTAATGCACACGCACGGTGATAATGGATACCTTCATGAGTGATGCGAGTTATTATTGATTATTTTTTTAATAATATTATGAATGAACCGTCTTGTTGTTATATCTAAAAAAAATTTGCTCAGACTCGGCTCAGAGAGCACAGAGATGATAGCAAATAAGTAAAGCTAACGTCAGCAGCCATGGCACTGGACGAGCAATCGTTATTATAATCCAAATGGGCAAATTATTATGCAAGTTGACTTGAGATACAAAAAAAGCAAAACTGCAAAGTCGCATTTGTCATCCGTCACCGTGACAGCAAGTGGACTTTTGAAACTGGAATAATGAGTGGATTACGCATTTCAATTGGCAAGAGAGGAATAACACGGATGGAACTTTCTTGGCAAGGAGGATTGTGTGCATCACAGTCAGGTAACAAGGGAGAAGGCTTCTTACATTAGGTAAGACAAAAAGTTTAATTTTCAAAAAGTCCAGTCGGGTCTGGGTCTTCCCGGTCGGGTTCGGGTCCATCTTTCAAATAATTGACGGTCCGTGTCGGTTCCGGGTAGTACATTTTTGACATTTCTCGGTTCTGCACGGACCCGGGTCCAATTTTCAAAATAATAGACGGGTCCGAATTTTTGGACCCGTGTAGACCTCTACTCTGATCACAACATAACAATCTATGCTATAAGCTGAAGCCAAAGCAAATCAAAGAAGAAAAAAAAACATAATGAACAAGATAAAACAAGAAAAAAGCCCAAAAGAAAGAAAAGCGAAAAAAGCAACAAAAAAAAGCAAAACACACAAAAACAGAAACAAAACAAAAGCAAAAAACAAACCAAACAAAACAAAACAAAAGCAAACATTCTTGCCAAATCAAAGCAAAGAAAACAAAACGCACACAAAACAAGAACACAAACATTCTAAAAACTATTGTTAAAAACCATCATTCAGATGAAAGTGATAACACTGCTTAAACATATCAGTGTCGTATTCATTTTATCTGGCAGTGCTGCCTTCACCTTATCTTTCGCCCAGCAGTCAATGGTCTTTTCAAAGAGCTCACTTGCCAGCAGGGAGACTGGACACCACACATAAAGCTCCTGTATCTGAGCCCAAGAAATGTAAGCCGAGACATCTGATAGTGAGAGTGGTCTCTCTCAATGTCTCTTTCTCACTTAACGTCTCTTTCTTTGCCTCCTCCACAGCTATAGGTTAAACGGAGAAGATGAGTGGAGGGGCTCTTTTCACAGGGTAATACTGCACAGACACATTCAATCTCTCACAAGAAGACACCAACAGCCCCAAGCAGGCATACAGATTCTTTGCAGCAAATGTATAGGCCTCAGAGAGAGTAAAAACTGGATGCTTCTGTGCCTCTGGAACAGTTTATTCTGATTCCACACTCAATTTCTCAACAGACAGGTGCTGAAAAGAATTTAAAAAAGAAAAGCAGAGTCTGACATTTCTTTGGCCTACTAGATCTAAAACCTTGGACAAGACTTTTGCTTTGTCATTGCTCTCCGTGTCCTCATTTCTTTGTTCTTGGCTTATAGAGAATGTCAGTTTTCCAATCTTTTTATGCATATATGGCTACTGTAGCTGTCATTCTCCCTCCAGACACACTCTTAATTCTCATCTTTTAATGGCAATAAAACCATTAAAAGGTTCACGGAAACAAAGCAGTCTGATTGTGGTGGAGACAAGCAAGCCATGCAGGAAATCTGATTTCATCTATTTGGCCTGGATGGTTAGAGAAGAAATAAAAGGATGCTCACATGGGGTAGGAATGAGGTTATAACACACACTGTGATAATGATAACACAGGAAAACGACTATTTTTATTCTAAAAAAATATTTATTGCCAAGGCAAAAATGTGAGAAAAGCACTGAAAGTAGCTTGTCCAGCAATCTCAGATGAGTCTGCATAGGAAAGCTAATATCAGAATCCCTAATAGCATTTTTAAATGATCAACATTTATCTGATTAAATAAAATTGAAAACAATTAAGATAAAATAAAATACTGTATCAGTATCATTCATCATCCCCTCAATGAAATTCACAGATAAGTCTCACTGACAATAATTATCAGTATATTTTGTATTCAGTATGTGCCAAGCTGCATGCGCACACACACACACACACACAAACAGCTAAGCACCGATGGGAATTCACCCCTCAGTAATGAAGCTACACTCCACCTACATGACTGCTCTTGCACTGATGTCAGCGGACAGATAATCAGGCTGATAGCCGCTCTCTGATTGTTCATTAAACTCAGCCTAATGAGCTGAAGCTCTTTTAGACAGAGAGTTGAATTCTCATCCCTATATTACAGAAGAGATCCTTTGGTGGGGATGTTTTTCATTGAAACCATCCATATTAAAAATAATTAATAATTTAATGAAATTTGAAAGCCAATTTGAATTACTTTGGCCAGAATTGCACACAGGAACAGTTTTGGAATGAAGAAGGATAAACATAAGCACACAGACCACTCATCCACAGGCAAATGCAAGTAAAAACAGTCTTTGGTGAGTGAATAAAACATGACTCAAATCAGATTGATGTGTCATTTAAATCAAAGACTATTAAAAAAAAAAATCTGCTGCGACTTGTATTCTTTTTTTTGTCTATAACTCAATGCATGCGATATGTAGGCAACATACAAAATCAGGAATAAAATCATTATGTAGACATGCAGCGTAACGGGTTGGTACTGTACACTCCCATTCAAAAGTTTGGGGTAAGTCAAATACATGTTTTTTAATTAATATATTTATTCAGCAAGGATGAATTAAATTGATCAAAACTGAAAGAAAAGACTGTATAATGTTAGAAAAGATTTTATTTAAAATAAATGCTGTTCTTTTGAACTTTCTATTCATCAAAAAATGTACCATGGTTTCCACAAAAATATTACACAGCACAACTTTAATAATAACAATAAAAAATGTTTCTGGAGCACCAAATCAGCCTATTAGAATGATTTCTGAAGGATCATGTGACACCAAAGACTGCAGTAATGTCTGCTGACAATTCAGTTTTGCCATCAAAGGAATAAATTACATTTTATAATATATTAATATAGAAAAAATGTAAATGGTAATACTTCACAATATTACTATTTTTACTGCATTTTTTGATCATCTAAATGCAGCCCTCATGAGCATATAAGAAATATATATTTTATAATTATAAATAAATAAACAAACAAATATTTAACAAATAATATTCACTGACCCCAAAAATTTTAAATGGTAGTATAATCTATATGGTATATTAATATTTTCTATATGGTGGTATGATACAGCACGGTGATTAAAATATAAATTAATAATCAGGTCAAATGGGACCTGACCATTAGAATGCTTCACCAAACATGAGAGATGTTTATGAAAGAGACTGACTGGGGGGGGGGCTAAAAAAAAACTTCTGATAGAAAGACCTGAGGTACTGATGCAATATTGTGAAGAACGTAGCATTGTAACACCACAGCCCTAGTAATATAGATAATGTGCTAGCAGTCATCTTCCGAGATATTAAACTAACACTCGATTCAAAACCACCATAGAGGACTGTACCGGAAACTAGAGATGAAAACCACTGAGAAGTCATATCAGAGCTCCTATCGGAGCACCTTTCATTTCTCCTAAACCACCTTTAAATCAATACACCACATCCTGTAAGACAGAGAGAGTGTGAAACAGTATCGTGGAGATTTTCTGGAAGCGGGTTGCTTCAGTGCTGTATCTGGGCGACATACTTGGCAGAGGGGGAGGGTAGGAGTAGATGCAGGCTCCTCGTGCCCAGCACAGTGGGAAGGGACTGCAGCCGCTGCTCTCCATCCGCTGGCCTCCGCTTTCGTCTCTCTCCCAGGCCCAGCGGCTCTCCGACTCCCTGGCACAGTCATAGGGAGCAGGGGGTGACCCCGGCCCACCGCAACGCACTGTGACCAGGCCACCTGGGATGGCCCTCAGAGGCCTGGGACGAGGCGTGGTGTGAGGTTGCAGGAAGGTGACTGGTCAGCTGACCGAAGCTCTAATCCAGGAGTGTGAAAACATGAAGGATGTGTGGTTACGGGAATGAGGATGGCAGATAGATATGCGAAAACGCGAGGTGTGCCGGTCTCGTTTCCCTCAGAAGCGCCTTTTGAAAACCACCAGCAAGAGCAGTGGAAAAAGATCCAGAAGTGACAGAGAAATCCCACAGCTGTCTGGCGTAATCCAAAGAATGGATGCAGCAGGCGAAGCTGAAACAAAAGCAGAAATCGACAAGAATAATCCTCACATGCTAAAACGCTTCCTTTTAGCTGCCTTTCTGAAGTTCATCCAGATTAAGAGAGACGCTGCGGTGACGGCCTGCGTAATTTTCACAATCCGGCAGAGTGTGTCAGGAGAGAAAGTGTGCGTACAAAGGAGGGATGTGAAAGAGAGAAAGAATCAGGCCAACTGAAATAAGAGGAGGGGCCTCTTTAAATATGCTAATTGAGTTCTGTGAATCCAACTGCTATTGGCTGACCAGCTCGTGTTTACAAAACACAGACCACAGAGCCAAAAGAAGAGGCCGATCAGGTTTTTCTGGGTGTGTGTTTGACCAGAATTATTCAGCTGGGCGGACCGGATTCTGTTTACATTCTCGGGATTGTGTTTCATATTTAAATACAAAGCATTATCATTTCTAAAAACCCCTAATCACCTTATGAATGATGGTAGAAAGAGGATATCTGTGGACAGCTGTGGGCTACTCGTGGAGATTCATGTGGAGAGGGACTGAAGGAATGTCCGTCAGCTACCTGACAAAGGCTCAAGGAAGGAAGTCGGTTTCCTGTTTTTGACAACAGCCCATACTTGCAGAGATGCACATAAATAAATGATGAAACATCACTGCAAATTAAGCAACAGTTTATTTAGCAAATGAGTCCAGCCTTTGCGATTTGTATAATCTGCATACTTCTTTATGCTGATGAACATGAAGAAATCCATGATCTATAAGGTACTTTGGCAATGCACTGAAGAAATATTTCAGCATTTTTGTGTAATCCCAAACATGCCATTCCAGATTAATAACTACAGTTAAGTCCTTGTTCTGTCTGGTTTACTACATTTATGGGAAATTACATTAGATATTTACTATAATTCTGTCTGTAATGACATTTCAATTTGTATATATTAAAGTAAAAAAAAAAAGGTTTAAAAATATAAAGCAGAAATAGAGTAGTATCAATTAGAATCAATTAGAAATTGAAGAGAAGAGAGCAGTGTAGAGAGCAGTGTACCTACATAAAAATGTAGCTTATTTTATAACTGTTGTAGCGTCTGGACCAATCAAACACACAATTATTAATTTGATTTAACAAATCAGTTATTCATTAGATTAACAAATCGTCACAGTCCCCTCACCCAATAAACTGGATGCCAGGATGTCTGCAACGACACAGGCCCCCCTGGTTACCATGGCAACCCGGACACCCTGTTAGACTAGTTTAAGTGTTTATGTGGTTAATAAAGTCTTACTTGTATCACACTTGACGTTGTCCATTGTTTGCTCATAACTGGAGTCACTTAATCATGCAGATTTATGCTACAAGCTCTGTGTAGAGTTGTACACTAAGAAAGTTATTTCCTTTAACCAGGAAATTAACGTTCTTAGAATTGACAGACAGTTGACCCTGAGAGGTCAGCTAAATATCTACAGCAGATCTAAATATTTATAATTAAATATAACTAGTTATGATTAATTATTCATATTTCCCCATGAGCTGATTCGCTACACTGTTTAAAAAATGGTTTACATAATATTTAAAATGATACTTTAAAAAATAATAATCAGTCAATTTTGCATTAAAATACAATTAAAAAAAGACAGCAGCTTCTCTTTTTCGTCTTTCTTCAGTTTTGTTTCATTCCATTGCCTAATAATTGGTTTACAACATTTTAATTATATAACTCAATAAATGTCTTTCTTTCGTTTTCTTTTCTTTCTTTTTTTGGATAAGTACAGTGATACACAACACAAAGGTCAACAAACTTAATACAAGAACTGTTCTCACAGTTCTCAATACCAGCAGATTAGTGCATTATTTTGTGCTTAATCTGAGTCATAACTTACTTCTGATTGCAAAGCATAATGCATAAAATGATTTGCTGTTATTTAACAGTTTCACCTTGCCACGTTTGCCAGAGATATTCATTACCATTCCAAGCACTCATTCCCTATAGGGAGGGCAAACAGGTCACTTCCTGATATACTAACCGCATTCTCAAATATCAGCTAATAGGCCCCATTTTGTGCTTAATAATGGTCTCCATAGATGCCATACAGACACACAGGAACCCTACTGTCTAAACATGCCCTCCTTCCCTCCAACAGTAATGCCCTTGGCTATGGAAAAAAAAATCAAGGTTAAAAATATGAAACATCAGCTGATTGGTTGGGCATTGTGAATGTGATTGGACAATGTTGCAGTTCCTCAGAAAACGCTGAATGAATTGAGGATGCACCAGTAAACTACACATATAGATTTGAACAACGTCCACAACACCACTAAACTGAGAAGAAGAAAAATCACCTAAAATTACAGCTATAACCCAAACTCAAACTCTTACAGCATTAAAAAGCTTTTTTACATAAATGAATAATACATCAAATGAGAAAAGCTGGTTATGGGAGGTATTAAAATTCAGCTCCATTGTCATATGGGCAGCCCAAAGAAGGCTGACAGGCTTTGGAACAGAGTGTACTGATCTGCTTTATACAGGAGAACATGCTCTACCCAATTCACATTCAGTAAATGGTGGATAAAGGTTAGGTTGACATTTCCCCCGATCAATTTGAAATCCATTTCAGAGAGTAAGAGAGAGAGAGTATAGGAGGTTGTCTTACCAGCATAATATGATATCCTTGAAATATCTGCAAAAAAACAAAAAAAACAGAATCATGTTAGAGTTTATAGTTTTAGAAATGATCTTGATTCTACAAAAGAATTGAAACTGGTATGTTAAAGTACTGTTTGTGTGTGCATGTGTACCAGTGTGTGTTTAGAGGGCCCTCTAGCTGTCAACTACTCTGGTATTCTACATTATTCAACTACAATCAAATCAATAGAAGAGAGATGTTTATGGGCATTTGGTGATAAACGCATCTGAAATAACCACTGACACAGAGAACCCCCCCCCCCCCCCCCCAAAAAAAATAAACAGAAAAGCAGAAAATTACAGGTAAGCAAGATACTAAACCTGATACAAGACTGACACTAGAAATACCAGAACTAAAATACAGACCCAACTAGTGTTGTCACGGTACCAACATTTCAGTATTCGGTACCAATACCAGTGAAAATCCACGGTTCTCTGTACCAATTTCGGTACCAAAGCAAAACACAAAACCATGCTAATTAAAAATTGTGACTACTTTCATTTAATCCAAAATGTGTACATATTTAATTTTAAAGGGCTTTTGAAAACCTAGAGCTATTCAGCCAAGAGTAACAACTAAGTTAGCTAAAAAAAAATTTAAAAAAAATAAAAGCCCAGAACTTCTGACTGACAAACAATGTTAACCATTTGTACATTCTCTAACATGCATATTTTAGATTCACAATTCATTTAAAAGCCTCTGGTGTGTAAAAATAGTAAATATCATCATGTCCTCCTGTTTTTTTTACCCTAATAAAAGTTATAGGAGCATTAAATAGTTAATAAAAGAAACTTCATTCTAATGATCATTATATTAGCGTTACCCGCGCTTATGCTAATGATTAACTACTCTAATAACAGCGTTCATTTCAATCCGACATTCAAATTAAAATATTGAATAATATGCAGTGTTTCCCCCAGAACATGCCCTCTACTTGTGGCGGCATATATATGCAAATTCATTCTCTGCCAGCAGGAGGCACTTGTAGAGCAGGGCAGACCAGGTTACCCCGGTTACGCTGTACACAAAGCAGCGCTCAGCTCACAAACGCTGCTCAGGCATTACAGGCAAGATGAAATGAAAATGACATCCATAATTTTCTGAAGACAGTCGTTTCCTTCAGAAATACAGTGATATAAAAACACCAACACCGGGTTTCGACTTTGACTCGTGCAGTACTCATGTTTATTCAACGAAGTCAAAGCCTTTTGGAAAATCTATTTGTGGCGGTGAGTTTTGATATTGTGGCGGTCCGCCACAAATAAATCAATGTATGGGAAACACAAATACTAAAAATTAAAATGAAACTTACCTGCTTGAACTCTTTCAATTGATCTGGGTGTCTGTCTTTAAAGTGTTTTGTTAGTTTGGTGTGTTTCCTCATTTTGAGGTCGCCACGTCTCAGTGCTTTTATGAAGAGAGCGCATCTGCGCTCCTTTCGGATAGCGCATCAAGAACCGGGTTGACGGGTACTCGGTACCACCGGTACTTAAAAAAACCTGGTACCGTAACGTTTTCATTTTTTTAGTACCGACTTGGTACCGAAGTACCGGTCTTTTGACAACACTAGACCCAACTTAACCTAAACTGTGCCAAAAAGGTTCTAGACTATCTAGTTCAGTGATGGGCAAACTTGGCCCTTCCAGGCCACTTTCCTGCAGAGATTTGATCCAACCCTGATAAACTCACCTGCCTGTAGCCTTCTAGTAGTCTTGAAGACAATGATTAGCTGGTCCAGGTGTGTTTGATTAGGGTTGAAGCTAAACTCTGAAGGAAATTGGCCTGGAAGGGCCAAGTTTGCCCACCACTGATCTAGTTCAATAGACTTTCCTCCCTAAAAGAGCTTTCTTAAGAAATTTGTGGCTTTTAGTCCATGTCTTTGTTTTTCATCTATATGCTTGTGAAACTACTCTTAACTATCCAGCAGCAAATCATGGTTCATGACTATGATGTAACTAAACTTCCTTAGTAAAATAGTAAATATATCACACAAAACACAAAAACAAAACTGCACTCAAAGTAATCTCAGGAGTTATTTTAAGGTTCCCATTTTTTGTTTTGGAATAGAATAGAATTTTGTGAAGGGGTCAATAACTTAAAACTAAACAAAACCTTTTTGTGTCTGGAATAGAATAGAATAGAATGCAGTCCAGACTTCATTAGCACAAAATCTTTTTTGTGTCTGTAATAGAATAGAATATAGGCTAATACTATTCTGTAAAGAGATTATTAACATAAAACTTAACTCAAATTGTTTTTGTTTAGAATAGAATAGAACATTGTGAAAGGGTCAGTAACTTAAAACTAAACATAAAATCATTTTGTGTCTGGAATAGACCATACTAGCTATTTAATATACATGAAAAAAAGTTTGTGCCTGGAATAGAATAGAATACTATTCTGTCCAGGGATTGTTAG